CCACCAGCCCCGTCCCCGGCACCCACCACAGCTTCAGAGTGCACCAGAGGTAAAGGGCAGCCCAAGACCACAGGGGGAAGGGGAAAAGGCAAGAACAGTTCTCCACCCAAGCTTGCTTCCTTACCATAGATAGTATTTCCTTCAATAAGGCCCTTCCCACACTCGCCCACCACCACACCACCTGAGTAGCCGCAGGAAATGAGGTTGTTCCTGAGGATGGGGTCGCCCCCATGGCGGATGTCCACTCCACCCCACTGGTTCTCGCAGATTACATTCCCTAGGGCCAGGCAGGGAGGATGAGGTGACCACGCGAGCCTCCTGCCCACAGAAGAGCAAGGAGACCTGGCAAGAAGAGACCTGGCCCCACCGAAAAGCTCCCATCGCCTGCAGCAGAGCCCAAGCCTCGGGAGCTTTCCCATTCCCTCATTCCCCTGGCAATGCTCTCCTGCACGGGACACTGGTCATTAGCAGATCCAGTAACCACCACCTCCCTGAGGTGTAGGGCAGAGTGGAAAACCACACAGAGGTGCTATGACAGTAGGAAAATGTCATTGACAGTTTTAGCTTACAAACTGGATGGCACAGGAGGGAACAAATGCAGTCCGTGTGGCAGATTGCTCTGGAGCACAGTTCCATGCCCCAGCTGGGCCAGAGATGAACAATAATTTGGAGGACACGCTGCAGAAAGACATGCTCCCTCTGTCAAGGGCAGAAATGCCAACTAGAAAATGCAAACCAGGGGATTATCGCAGCAAAAGTCAGCAAAGAACAATAACAAAATAAATTTTGCAATCAAACAGACAGAGCTTAAAGAAAGAGACAAACTGGGCACAACAACATCATTTTCATTCCCATACCTGTGATTTGGCCTCTCCCATTCTCATTCACTGCTATTCCAGCAGCCAGTCCCTGGAAAATATGGTTCCCACTGAGGAAGGAGAAGAAAATAAAGTTACCAGCAGCAATGTTGCCTGCTCACGGTTTGCACCGATGCCAGCACAGCAGGTCTCTGCACAGGCACCAGTCTCCCTGGCTGGCTGTCCACCACAGCCTGTTGCCCATGCCTGGCAGTGAGAGCTGGGCATGGGGCAGCCGCACAGCAAAGTGCAGCGAGAGGGAAGCACAGTGGGGAAGGTACATGCAGAGCAGAGCAGAGCCATGGACAGACAAACCACTTCCAAGAAGGTGAAAGCACAAAGGAGGCATGGAGAAACACACATCAGTAAGAGCAGGAAGTGCTTATGAACGTCCAAAGGGTCACTGTGTCAGACAAGTTGTCTGTCCAGCCAGGGTGCCATCTCCAGGAGTGGCCAGACACAGCACCAGCCTCGGGGAATGTAGGGACCGGGAGAACCAAGTGCTGCCCCCTGCACCCCAGCCTCTCCACCTCGCTGCCTGCCCGCACCCAGTTACACCCACCCTTGAGATGGACTTTCCTTCTCCTCAGGAGTACGCTCGTTCCTCTGCAAACCACCCTGCATGCTCAGATCTCCCAGCACCAGGCAGCACACCCTGCAGGGAGGCAGGCCACCTGCCCCTGGGGCCCCCCTGTCCCCATGGGCAGCATGGAACAAGGGGCTCTGAGCCGCAGACCCCCATGGAAAAGTGCAGGAGAGAAACCACATAGCAGCTGGAGCTTAGCTAGGTGGATGATGCAGAGGAGTCTACGAGGGCTTTAGCCTGTTTCCCCTGTCCTCCCCATCTCAGGGAGGAGACAAGAGGCTTTATGTGCCACAGAGGAGCCCTGATGCCAGTGGGCAGATGGTGATTGTGGCTGATGGTGGGAAACATGGAACACGTTGGCAGGAGCAGAGTGCCGTGCTGGGAACGATGGCCTGGAGAGCACATGGGGGCCCCATGGTGCCTGAGTAGAGCTGTCCCCTGTGCTCCCACCTACCTACTGCCTGTCAGGAGGAACAAAGCCCAGCACGCCAAGCCCACCACCAGCTCCTCCTCCATATCATGACCCCAAATCTCTGGCTGTCTGCTGAGGTTCAGAGCAGGAAAACAATCAGGTTGATCACAAAGGGAAAACACGGAGCTGAGGATCACTCCCTGGAGACAGCTCCACTCCCCCTGGGCTGCAAAGGGAGCAGAGGAACTTCTACAACAGCAAGCCAGGGTGGGAAAACAGCACTTGTGACATGCCATCACCAGCAATGCAAGATCACCAGTGCTGGCTGGGAGTGGAGGGGTGGGTGCAGTGCTTCACGCCACCGTCCTACTCCCAGGGACAAGTGCAGGCAAAGCAGAGACCACCCCAAACTTGCTGGGCAGCTAGTGCTCCTGCATCATGCTCCTGGGGTATTGCCTCAGGGATGGCTTCACAGCTTCTCTCCCTCCTTACCCTGCAGACGTTGGTGGATTTTTAAGTACAGGTGCCTTGTGCACTCTTCCTGCCTGGTGAGCTGCCCAAGGCCCATGGCTGGGCAGTGCCCTCCAGCGCTGCTCTTCCCAGCTCAGGGGAGCAGACAGCAGCCCTGCACCACCAGGCACCATCACACTCAGCACCTCCCAGCCTCAGCACAGCAGAGTACACCACCTTACCCAAAAAGCTTTTTAGCTGCTTCAGAGGGCACCTCTGACTGGAAGATGTCAGTTCTGGAGTCCCCAACATCAGAAGGATGTGGACTTACTGGAGCCAGTGTAGAGGAGGTCACGAGGATGATGCGAGGGCTGGAGCAGCTCTGCTGTGAGGACAGGCTGAGAGAGTTGGGGCTGTTCAGCCTGGAGAAGAGAAGGATCTGGGGAGACCTTCTAGTGGCCTCCCAGTACCTGAAGGGGCTCCAGGAAGGCTGGGGAGGGACTTTGGCCAAGGACAGGGAGTGACAGAACAAGGGGTGATAGCCTTAAGCTGAAAGAGGGGAGATGGAGATGAGATGTGAGGAAGAAATTCTTTGGTGTGAGGGTGGTGAGACAGTGTCCCAGGTTGGCCAGAGAAGCTGTGGCTGCTCCTCCCTGGAAGTGCTGAAGGCCAGGTTGGATGATGCTTTGAGCAACCTGGTCTAGTGGAAGGTGTCCCTGCTGATGGCAGGGGGGTTGGGACTGGATGACCTTTAAGGTCCCCTCCAATCTATACATCCTATGATTCTATGTACACATTCAAGGGCCTATATCATGCTTAAAGGTGGTACTTGGCACCCATGTCACCGGCACACTCCTCAGAGGACACACACCTAGTTTTTGTAGAGAGCACCTTGCAACAGCCCACTGGATCCTGCCCTCCAGCCAGACAGCTGCAGGCAGCAACATGGGATGGAGCCAAGCTTGCAGCTGCCAAGGATGGGTAAACATTATTCCGTTTCCACCTGTGGAAAAGGCACTCAGCAAAGGACACTACTGCTACCAGAAACCTCCCCCTTCTGCCAGCCCTGCCTGCCTGCAGCAGCACGCGCCATCCTGTCAGTGAGACCCAGCCCCCTTGAGCCCTGTGCTCAACATGGCTGCATGTGGCATCACTGGGACCAGGCCAGCACATGTAGCCTCAGCCAGCACCAGAGCCCACCTTGAGCCAGCGCAGCCAAAAGGCAGCACAGAGCAGCATGCACGAGCAGAGCAGGGGAGCTCCTCCAAAACGGGTGGCTGGTCAGCAGAAAAAAAGGTGCCTTCCCATTGAGCTTCCTCCCCACCTCCTCACGATCCTCTCCTATGTGCCAGCAAGCACAGACGGTCGTAAGTCAGTCATGAGGTGCAAGCTGGGGCTGCAAACATCCCGAGAAATTATGGAGGGAAGGATATCTAGTGAATCCCTCCGTCCCACATCGTGTTTCCTCTGCACTACTGGGCCTTGCCACTACAACACGGCTTTTCTCAGAAATCAGTTCCACTTTCACAATCCCCTGTTGAACAGCCTGGCCCTGATCGCTGTGTTTCCAGGGCTGGTACGTCTGGTGCAGACTTCTCTCCATGTCCCAACCTACACCAAGGGCCTCAGTAACCCATTCTTAAGAGTCCATACAGGCAGTCTGTCAACCTCAGCAGCTCTGCACACAGATCATGCACCTGCAAGAAGTTGCTTTGATGAGGACTCAAGGCTGAAGCACTCTTAATTATCCCCACTTCCAGCATGAATACTCATACCCTAGTGTGACAGTTTCACACCAGCTACGAGGATGATCCAGGGCAACCGTTTCCTTCCCTTTGTGCCTTACACTGCTGTATAGCACTGCAGTGAGCTGTCACATGCCTGTTCCTTATCACCCTCCAGCATGGTGAGAGGCAGGACAGGGTGGCAGTACAGATCAGATGCCCCTCACATCTGAAACTAATACCGTGGTCCTGCTGCTCTCTTATTTCTGGCTTTATTGCTACCAGTTGATACCAACAAGTAAAGCTGATGGCATCGACCTGAAGAAAGGCTGCCAGACATCAATACTGACATCTAAACTGAATGGTATTAGGCATACACAAATCAGTAGCTCCACATGTTTAAAGCAGAAAAGTGAATTGGAGTAACAGTGACTGGAGTACCAAAGGTCTTTGCTTTCCTACCAAAAGCACTGTGACACGTGTGAGTCGTTCATCTTGAACACAGCCCCTGTCCTCCTCAGATCTAGGGGGAAAAACCAGGACTGGCACGTGGCACTTGGGTGCAGCAAGTAGATAGAGGGAAGTCACAGAAAGGCACTAGTGCACTGCGGTCCTATTTCTGCTCTACAGCAAGGACAGCAAAAAAGAGAAGTGTGCACAGTGGGAGGAGTAATTCTTCACAGACAGAGAAGAGAGAGAGGTCAGTGCTAACTAACATACCTCACAGCAGGGTTTCCATTATACAGAATATAAATGCCAGCTTCTTTATTCCCATAGATCTGATTGCTACGGATGATGCCTTTTCCGTTGCCAACGATGACAATGCCTGAGCGAAGGCCACTGTGTATCTTATTGCACTGTGGTTTTAATTTTGCACATGTAGAGAGTATAAAAGCAGAAGGAAGGAAGGTCACTCATAAAAGTGAGCAAGAGGAGACAGCAACCACAGAGAAAAGCAACAGCTCCCAATCCTGCTGGGGAAAAGGGCAGAAGGGTAATTAATCCAGCTGCCAAGAAATCACTCTCAAATGGTCAAGGCACACTTAGAACCATAGAATGGTTTGGATTGGAAGGGACCTTAAAGATCATCCAGGTCCAACCCCCCTGCCAGCAGCAGGGACACCTTCCGCTTAACTTTTATCTTTCTATGAGGTTCTAGTACACAATACTAAGTTTCCCTTCCCATCAGGTATGCACCCTTTTCTCCCTCCAGCAGCTCTTGCTGCCATCTCCAAGGGCTGCCATGGACCTAACGATGCTTCATTCCCCACAACCTGTCTGACACTGGGCAGGGCTGGTGTGGCTGCAAGTCCAACACCTCCCCAGAGCCACCAAGAGAAAAAGACCCTTGGTGGCAGCCCACAGGAGCTAGAGGCAGGAGTCCAGGCAGGGGGCTTGCCCTTACAGCATGGTGCTGTTTCTCAAGCTGCTAGACAGCACTTTGCACAACCTGAATGACTGCTGTCCACAGCACACAGCTGCTTCTCTCCACAACAGGGGCCAGCATCCCTGAGTACAGGAGTACACCAAGACCCTCTGAGCAAGACAGCAGTCCCAGCCAGGCATCTCACAGAGTGGCAGGGTAGGAATCACCAAACAGCAGCTCAGAGCTGCAACCAAGGCGAGAAATAGCCCATGGCTCTGTGGCTTGAGCTGCCATCTCCTCCTCCACAAGGCCACAGCTCTGCCTGCCCCATCTCCTGTGCAGAGGCCCCGTGGAGAGCTTGATGCAGCCACAGGGTCACTCGGGTGGTCGTCTGTATCTATCTCTCGCTCCTCCCGCACGGTGAGGCCTCAGTTCCTTCAAGGATGATGATAAACAGTTTTCAGTAAAAAGGGATAAGGTCACCCACTGCACAGCTGTAGACACTACTGTTTCAGAGGAACAGCCATGCCACTGGAGAGCATGCTGCTGCTCCCCTCCTGCCTTAGGCTGAGCAGAGACCTGAGACCCTCCACCATCTCCCAGGATAGACAACATGATTCCCAGTGTGGGAGAAACAATTTACAGTACAGTGATGCTTTACTACCTTGCTTACACGAGTTAACTCATGACACAGGGGTATTTATTTGATAGGGGAACATCCTCCTACCCTCCCCTCTACGCACAGTAATTTTAAGACATATATCAAATAGAGCAGGAGACTATCCATGTAACACCAAGCAGCACTTTGCTGTGCCTTGCCCTTGGGGTTTTGTTATCAACAAAAACCTAAGAAACAGGCTGAAGGGCAAAGCTAACAGAAAGGCCAGTGTTTTCTATACTGGGAGATGGCTCCCTGCTAGCCCTCGGAGAGAAAGGCATGTGAGACAGAGTGTGCTGCCCTCCAGCATGGCTTGGAGGGGTACATACCAGAACAAGGGGGTTGGCTCCCTTACGAATGTCCACTCCAGCCTCACAGTTCAAATGGATGTTGTTTTCTGCAATCAGGCCTCCTGCTGACAGGCGCAGGAATATCCCCGATGCTTTGCAGTGGTGGATGTCATTCCTCAGCATGATAACCTGCAGGGAAGAGGAGAAGTGCCTATAGTTGTAGTGAGAAGGACGAGGAAAAGGACATGAGCAAAGGAGGTAGCTCTCCCTTTTGCAGCCTCTGTGCATCTACAGCCTCACTGCTTCTCCTGCAACCCGGGGTTTGCCAGGCACATAGGGCAGCTGAAAGGAAGATCAGTGCATGTGGACAAGGGCTGTGGTTAAGCCTGTTGGACTCTACTCACTGGCATGGGTCTGCCTGGGGACGAGGACCCGCAGTGCCTGGTGCTGCACGGAGAGAGCAAAGATGTCTGCTTGTCCTAACACGTCCCTCCACCTGACAAAGCCCATGTTCAGGTGTGCCCAGGGGCTTCCCTCACTGCATCGCACTTGCTCACTGTCAGCAACAGCGAACGACTGCTCCCCATCCCATCACCACACCACTGGTGGTACCACAGACCTGCCCCCTCCCCGCTCAGGTACTCCTCGGCATCTTCTCTGAGCACAGCTGGGAACAGGCTGCCTGCGGACTGCTGCGCAGAGCCGCTCGGAGGTGACATGTCGAGTGCTCAGAGCCTCCCACCAGGCTCTGATGAAGGTGACTGGGCCAGTGCACTACAGCACACACGCTCAGCATGCAGCCTGGCCATAGCCTTGTGCCTTCAGAGCAGAGATCCCACCATTTGGGGGCAGAAATGGCCCAGCCAGCAAACTGAAATCACTGACACCACTCATAACAACCTCGTTTCCTCTGAGCAAATAAGTAGTTAAATATTTATGCAACAGTAGCCATCTTTAATATTTTCCAGCCAAATAAAATCATGTCTTAAATCCATGTCTTATGAGTGCTAAGAAATTATCTACAAATTGCCTTTGCGTATCCCACTTCAATGAGCAACACAGATCAGAAGGTAATTAAATTATACTTCTTTTTATTTGCTCATTCCAGAAAGGTGCTTCATTCAATCTCTGGACTAAACGTGGAACTCAGCAGGGCTTGACAGCTGCCTGTCTTCATCAGTCACACTTGGCTGCCCGGGGAGGGAGCTACAGGAGGTGAGAAACGCAGGCACTCGCTGGGTCCAACACACCAGACCCTGGTCCAGGTTTGCCCTGCACTGGAGGGTTCTGGCTGTGCAGGGACACCGAGCCCTTGCCTGCTCCACCATGCTCCTGCCTCATATTGCACCTTGCCCTCGTCTCACAGCCAAGCACTTCACTGTCTCCCACTGCCTGATGCTCTGACACCTCCCTCTCAACACAAGCCTCTGGGCTAATTCCTAGCTGAGACAATTCTCACCGAGAGCAACAGCTGGGCTGGCCTCACCTCCCTCCCATTTGCTACTAGTTAAAACCAGGCTGCTGAGCCAACTGGAAGGAAATGAAGGGGAATGAAAACAGCATACAATCCAAAGTGCCAGACCTCTATCTGTTGCTAGCCTAACTCCCATGAAAACAGCCCCCGAGCCTCTGCTCCCTCCTGCCACTCTGCATCCCCGGGGTAGCCTTCAGGAGGGCATCTCTGGTACGGGAATCTCTTGGAAAGAAAGGAGCCGTCCTCCACTGCCAGGAAGCAAAGCGCTTCCGCAGGGCACAGGCAGCAGCAGGCTGCAGTCCTTCTGTGGGGCCTGCGGATGGGGAGCTGGCACTACCACAGCAAAGCCCTTCTCCAGAACTGGGCAGAAAAACACTTGCCTTCCCCTCCCTGCACAAACCTTCTATTTACAGCCTTTTAAAGAGTTAGAACAAAAAATGAGTCCAAATGCTGGGCTGCCCCGACTGAATGGTGGGGATGGTCTTGCCCTGGGCAGATGGCTGGAAAGGAGCCTCGTGAGCCCACCACGCACTGCCAGCACTGGGGATTTTGGCAGCAATATTGCCCCCCTCGCCCTTGCCGCCCCCACTCTGCCTGAAGACAAGCACAGGCACAGAGGTGTGGCGCTCCGGGCAAGCACAGGGTTAGGTGACATTGTGCTAAGGGAAAACTTCAGCCTCTAGCACATGTTCCTGGCCAAAATCTCTCCCATCTGTGCCTGCGGCTGGCACCCACTCCTGCAGGCTCTCCTGAAGCAGCCAAGACTGGCCACAGCAAGGGGCAGGACCAGGGGTTGACACTGCCGTCCCTAACTCCCCGCGGTTGTGGTGTGGGCTGTGCCGGGAGCAGGAGCAGCACTTTTACAGGGTAAGAGTTTAATTTATAGGTGCAGTGGGCGTGACTCCACAGCCCCAACATGCACAGAGTTAATGCCTCCAATTGCAATTACAACATCACTGCATGCAGAAAGCGGGCAGCTGCAAGTGACCTGCCTTTCGTTTGGGCTGGTTAACCCAAGCTATGCATAGGAAAGGAGCAAGTGGAGCAGGAGGGAGAGGGCTCACAGCAGCCTTCTCTTCACCTTACTGTTTTGTATGCAACGCACTGCATAGGTCAGATCCCTGAAGATGTTTCCTTCCAGCTTTGCTTGCCCTCATGAATAAATGAATATTCCTCCTTTCCTCTCCCTGAAAAGGCACTCTCGGATGATGCTGCCTTGCAGAGAGTTGGCCAAAGTCTGGGCGTCCTTGTCCTGCTGCAGCTCCTGCTGCAGAGACTTGAGCTTAAGGTCCCTCTGAAGGGTACGTAGTCTGTTGCTTTCAAGCCTGCTACGCGTAACGTCGGCAAGCGTGTGACTCAGGCCATGGGCTTGGCAGGGCAGTTTGTACACAACCTGAGCATCCTCTTCATGGCTGCTGCATAAGTCACTGTCACTGGAGTGTGAGTCAAGGGTTGGGTACTCCTCCTCCTCCTTTGTTGCCCGCAGGTTCTCTCCAAATTCAGTGTCCTCCTCGGCTAGATCAAGGAGGCCTTGAGCACCTGCAGCAGAGAGGAAGCTGCTTCGTTCTTCCCCTATGACAATATTGCATGTTCTTACTGGCTCCAGCAGTGATTCTCCCCAGCTACCCCGCTCGGCCATGGAAGAGCTGGCTGGGGTAGGCTCCTGCACAGACACTGCACAGGACTTGGCCAGCACAGCCAGGGGCTTGCAGGCCCAGTTATGGTCAGAGCTTGGGCAGCCCTCCACGGTCACAGAGGCATTCTCACTGCCAGTGAACTCACAGTTCTCCAGGATGCAGAGGGCCACGCTGTGCAGGGGGATGCTGGACTGGCTGAAGGTGTAGAACTTCACCTGGCACGTCCCCGGCGCGTGGATCCGCAGCTGCCCATCTTCAAAGTTGCAATTGTTGAACTGGACATAGCCTGAGGTTGTCTGGAGAGTAAGCACAAGGTAAGATCACTGGATAAAGCAAGAAAAAGCAGACCTGGACATACCATGAACTCCTTCCACAGCAAACAAGCTCATGCTCACAAACACAGTATGTGTTCAGGTGTCATGGATGCAGCACGCTCACACAGGCACAGATGCAGTGCTGCAAGCTGAGTCAGCAAAGTATCTGGCAACAAGTGACACCTACTGACTTTTTTCCCTGCCAAGACACAGCTTTGCAGCCTCAGCAACGCCCAGCAGCCACATGCAGGAGAAGACAGGGCCAAGATGTACCAAGATCACTAAATCTTAGCAACACTCTCTACACAGAAGAGTCTGCAACCTTCAGAGACATGTATTTGCCAGCTGGCATCGTTAGTGAACTCAGGGGTTTACTGGGTGAGGCAGCAGGTACGATGACATCAAACACTGCCTGGTTGGCCTGGAGAGCCACAATTCTCCCTGGAGCTGTTAGCATACCTGGTGGAAGGACTCTGCACCCATGATGCATCATGCACAAAGCAAAACAGATAAAATCTTGTGCCATTCAGAATGCACATGCATTATGTTGTGACACTGCAGTAGAGGGGAGACACCATCAAGTCCATGTTCTCTGGCTGTGGTTTCCTGGCTTGCTGGTACTTGTAGAATTGTGAGCCATGGCCTTCCTGCTTCACTAGGCAACACACACCACAATTTATGGGTGCTGCCAAGCCACCAGGGTGATTGTGCAGAGACAAATATCTCTCTCCTGCAGAGGCAGGGCAAGTCTCTGCCTATCTACAGAAAAGGCCAACAGAAATACAACAAGGTACAGAGGCCCAGGTCAGAAAAGCTGAGTAGCATGCCTGGAATTTCACTGTGCTCCTCATTTGACCAGGAATCTCCCAAATTGTTACTTTCTCTTTCCAGGTTATCACTCAGTTGCCTAGTGCACCACATTAAAAGCAGACAGATCAATAGCTTGTGATGGGTGAGCTGGGGCAATTTTAGGTATTTCCGGAGTTTGCAGCCAATACACCGTTTGCTGTGACCTGTAACGATGCAGAGATATTCAGAGGATAAACCCCCGAGCCCCCGTGTGTTAGGAAGGTCCCACAAATCTCCAGATGCCCACAGACCAGGGAACCCCCACGGTTGTGGCACCTCAGTGGCCTCACCATCCCCACCACCCCTCTCCGCCAAGGCTCACCTTGCAGAGCAGGGGGGTGAAGCGGGACGGCATGAAGACCACATTGCAGAAGAGGGCGGTGGGGCAGTGCTGGTCGATGCTTGCCAGCAGCGCC